GGAAGAAGAAGGTAACTGGCAGCTGGTGTTATAAATCTTTTATTTAATTATTTCAGTCCCTGAGTGTTAGAGTTGCTGAATACGATCTGGTCTATCTGCCTTTATGCTGGTACTGAGAGCCCTCCTTAGCAGCCTTGTCAGCTAAGTTGGCTTCTTTACAATGCCTGCCCATAGTCTCCCACGCTTAAACTGTGAAATCTTAGAGCAGATCTGTCCTTGGAGCACATTTAACATTTTGGAATCCCTGCCCATGCCAGGAGGGGTTGGAACAAGATGATCTGTAAGGTTCCTTCTAACCCAAGCCATTCTATGATTAACACAAACTTGGTTCCTGCCCTATGATCAGTGTGCTCTAGTAGTGCTACTATTCCTTTTACTTACGTGTTATGGTTATGGGTATGCAACCAGAAGGAAGCAACTATAAATATGCTAAAAAAGGATAAAAGTGGCAATAAACTCTTCATAGGGTAATGATTTCTGTTAATGGTAGGGTTAATAATAAGGTAACTAATTTTTTGACATTTAAATGCATTTGTCTCTGAATAGGATGAGAGAAGGGCATTCCTAAACAAGCTACTGAAAACAGGAAGGTGAACATGAAGAATGAAAACAAATTACACAACATATCTGAGAATAAGACAAGTTGGAGAGAGAGTCACTCATCCTAAAGGACAGCGTGGGCTTATTAATCCAGGATTTTAGTGATTTACTCTTGTTCCCATTGAGTGCCTGCAGATAATGCAAGCTTTTATGTTCTCAAGAGTTCCAGACCTACCTGCAGGGAACAGGAATGTTTTATCGCAGAGGTTGAGTTTTTGTGGCCAAGATCACCATTAATAATGGCCAAAATACTGAAAACTTAGGCAGATTGAACCTTCAAGGAGAATGATGATCTTTTTTTTTACAGTGAATCCAGCATGGATTTTAAAGGTGCATGGCTCTTATCTCGGTGTGAATATAAAAACATAGGATGGATATTCAGGGTTGTATAAATTCAAGTTGATGCTAGTAGGGATATTATCCTCTACTGAATAGGTTTAAAAAAAAATGCACCAAACAAGATTAAGTCTACAAAATCATTAGCATGACCCTTCCAGTGACGTTATTCCCAGTTCTGTCTGCTAACTTGATATGGGATAAAAGGTAAATTGGATATTTCAGTACAACAAACAAAGATGCTTCAATTTCTTTTGACAACATACTATCTGAGCAGATCCATTTTTAGAAGAATAACTAAATAAAAAGCCTAGATGGAAGCTTTCTAGGTCAGGAACTGCTAGACCTCCATTATTTTAAATGCTTGAAGCACTGCAGTATTCAGCCAGTGTGCGTGTATGCTGTTTCAGAAAATTTTACAACAGGGGTTTCTAAAGTTCCAAGGCTGTGCTTTAGCCATAAAAAATACTGCCTTGTGTATAAGGTGCAGGAACTGAGGGATTTTTATTTTCCCAAAGGTAATTTCAGTTGCATTTTTAAAGCACAAACACACAATGAGAACTATAGTTATCTGTTGACTAATGGCTCTCATTGCTCTTAGTGAAGTAGATAATAACTTTGTATAGAATACCAAATTCAATAGAAACACACCACAGAAACGGAAGAACTCTGTTATAGAGTTATTACTTTCAAAGGAAACAACTGACAAATTGAAAGCTTTTTTAAAGAAAATACCACCAGCTGCCTGCTATGTTGTTGTTGTTGTTTTTTCTCACTTGTTCTTTTGAAAAAATGTTAAGAAATTTCAAGCAATGACTTTTGATTGTTGAAGCACGGAAACACTGGAACTACATTGCTGTGTAAAGGTCTGTAATAAATTCACATATTGCTACTAGAAATTTATCTTAGGTATTAATCTAACTTGCACTCCAGATGCCATCTCAATAAAATAAAATAAAATAAACTTCCGAAAGAGCACATGGATCAAATTTTAGCCAGCAGAGAGAAAATGGCTGACTTGGCATTGAGTATGTGTGATCACAGTGTGACAGACAGCCAAGTCATCAGTTTCCTTTTTCTGCCAGGCAGTGGCAGTTCTGATTCTCCTGAAGAGTGCCTTTATTGCATGTAATGCCTGGGTATTTTAACCCCAGTGAGTACCCCATGAGTGCCCATAATCTGAAAATTTATTGCTCAGTGTCTAAACTGCAGCAATCTTATTCATGAAAAATGGATGACATGACTGAGATTACATAGAATACTACGGAATTACTTACTGGGACCCTACCTGAGCTAAATAAACAAAAAGCAACCAATCAGAACACATCGTGCACACTCTTCTTCCACTGGTGAAGACAGGATGAGAAAACAATGGTTAATATGCACAAATCTCAGATATTATGGGAAAGACAAAGGATAAAAACTGGGTAGAGTCTTCATAAGCATCTTAAAATTAGCTTTTTGCTTTTTTTTTTGGTCTCTCCATAAATTTTTGTACCTTATGGTTTTCACTTCTGTGGTGCATATGATTTGAAACAGGACACCTTAATTTTTTTTTATGTCTATGTGCAAATTCTTGCAGTTGTTACTGTTCCTACATTTCAGTCCAGAGCATTACATAGACATGCATGCTGTATACTCCTCTTTATACCAAATAGGTTCCTATGAGTAAATATCGTTTGGATTTAGCAAATACTATCTAAAAAATGAAACAGGGATCATAGGACAATACAGTACAGCAACTATATGCCTCAATTGGGCTATAAAGACGTTAGAGTAAAAAATGCCAACAGTGAAGTTTCTTTTCCTACTCCATCATGTCACTGAGTCTGTGCTCTCTGCAGGAGACGTCTGCACTCCCATCCTTCAGCACTCAGATCTTTCTGTTAGAGAGCTGCTGGAGACCTTGAACCAGAAAATAAGAACACAAAGCTCTTGGTAAAGAGCTGTCTGTGCTCATGTCTCCCTCAAGTGCTTGATCCACATCAAAGAATAACCTATCAGGTAAGTGTTACAGGAATTGTGGAATTAAGAAGTGTGTCTGTTTGGAAAATTAGTTCTTTGTTTGCCTTTTGAAAATTTCCCAGCAGGATTGCAAAGTCTAAGTTATGTGTCTGAGGAAACAGAGAGTGAAATGTATATCAGAAAGATGCACTGTCCTTGGAGATGCTGAAAAGCCATCTGGACATAGTCCTGAGCAACTGGCTCTCGAAGGTCCTGCTTCAGCAAGAGAAACAGACCAGGTGACCTCCACAGGTTCCTTCCAAACTCAGCCATTCAGTGGTTTTATGAAAACAGAACAAAACCAAAAACCAACCAACAAAAAGCAACTGAAGTTTTAACACTGATATCCTATCCTACTGCACAACATGCAATGGCAGACAGTTCTACTGTCTTTAAAATCTCCTTTGATAAGTCCTCTTTCCTATTTGTACTGTTGATAGTCCAGTTTCTTTTTTTCTGTCTTTTGTTGGTTTCTGTAGAGCAGTGATAGCTCAGAGTTGCTGGTGTGGTCAGGTCACAGAAGGTCTGAAGTACTGCTGCTTTGAAAAGTCAGTCTGTGTATGGCTGTAGAAACACACATTCTCCTTGTTCTCCTTTTTAGATCATTAGAAAGAGGCATTGCTTTGCAAAGTGGGAGAGTTATTTATCGGAAACTTGCGAAGCCTTTAAAACATTTTCATTTGACAGGAATAATTAGAGGCACTATAGAGAACCTGCATCGCTGGTAATAATCCTTATGACTATGATACTCATTAGGCTGATTAAACTAGCTTAGCATGATGTTATTTCACTGGCACCAGGTAAAGTAGCTGCCCTTTCTGGAGATTATACGCTAAAACTTTGAGCTGATCTGAATCGTAGAAGATTTGCTAGCAGCAGATTAAAAACCCAAATTAAAAATAAGAAAAAAAGTATTTTTAGTGGCTACTAAAGAAAACAAAAACTGCTTCACTGGGACTGGGATGAATAGTGAAACTGAGCATGTTCCAGAGAAACTGTTAAAGGATTTTACAAGCTATTGCCCATGTTACAGAGTATGCAGCAAGCTATCTTTGTCACACAGACTCACACCTGACCTCCTCCCAAGTAGAGACAGAAGTTTTAGGTCAGTTAGGAGAGCTTTGAAGTCAAACAACAGTGACTGTGCGAGCAGAACTCGTGTTCCTTTGACTCTGGACCGAAGTCATCCTTCTTTTGCAGCTCTCCATCTGGGGAGGCTGTACTTGAGCATTCGCAGAGCACAGCGTGATCTGATTCAGCAGATGTGCTGAGACGTGAGCTCTCCCCACAGCTGTTTCAAGCTTTTAAAAGAAATATGAAAATATAAGATACACCTTTTCTACTCTTCCTTTTTTTTTTTTTTTTTTTTTTTTAAACAGGTGAATGCTGGTACACAGAATCAGTTACTGCAGGAAGAACACAAGTGCACAAGTGTCAAATCCTGATGAGCATATTTTTGTTTGTTTTATAGAGAAGGGGGGAAAAAAAGCTGTTTATGAACGTGCCCTAGGAAAGGTGGGGGAACTAATTACTTGAACTGGCGAAGGCATACATACTGCTGTAGCCATTGACTTGCTGCTCCCTGAAGCTAGCTGGATGTTTCTCATTTGCTCTGCGGGGTATTGGATCAGAGCCCTTTGGCTACCAGAAGGAACTGACACAACTTGCAACCAGGGAGCATCTGTCTGCTTGGGCACTTCAAATGTCTTATTAAGATCCTCCGTACAGCTAATTGGGAATGCCATTGGTATTGTGAGAAACGCAGTGCTTTAAGATTTTAGGATAATAGAAAAAAGAAGGAAAAGTGTTGGCCATCGTCCCCACACCCTTTCTGCCAGCTCCGTGAGCTGCTCCTCCGGTGCCGCTGGACACTCCGCCCGTGGAACTTCCCCTCAGGGCAGCCGGGCCGCTTCGCGGCTCGCCCACGACCCGCTAACTTTTCGCCTCGGGGGCTGACCTACAGGGCTGACTGGCGGAGCGCGAGCGAGCAGAGCCGCCCCCGCCTCCCGCCCGCTCGCTCGCTCGCTCGCTCTCCTCCCCTTCCCCCTCTCCCGCCTTTTCAGCGCGGATCCCGGGTGCCAGCGGCCGCGCTGGCAGAAGTCCCCGGCCGGCGGCTCGGGGCGCGGCGCTGTGGCGAGGGCGGCAGCTCGGAGCCGCGGCTGCTCCCGTAACCAAGGCGCTGTCAGGCGCGCACACACAGACGCGCAGCGCGAAGCAGAGCAGACTCGGGGCCGCCTTTGCAGCTCTTTCCCTCCCGCACCATGCTGTGCTCCAGGCAGCGCCTGCACGCCGCTCCCTGAGGGGACGCAGCCCGCCGCCGCTTGGCAGCCGGCTGCCCGCCCCCGCTCCCCGAGTTCGCTCCGTCCCGGGCACTTCGGGCTGTTGCCGCCCCATCGCAACGCCGTCCCCCGCTCCCAGTGTGGCAGCCCTTGGGCGGCGGGGGAGCAGCCGGGAGCAGCCGCCGCCGGCGAAGAGGAGCTCCAGCTCCCACCTCCGGAGCGCTTCATGGCGTCTCACCAGCAAACCAGGATCCAAGCCTACCTGGAGAAGAATAAGATCGGTCCTCTCTTCGAGGTAAGGCGCGCTCCTACGCTCCGCGGGCGGCTCTTCTGGGGGCCGTGGCCGCTGAGCGCCGGCAGGAGTCAGGTGTCCGGCCGGGAGGGAGCGGGGCTGGGGGCACCCGCTGCCCGCCGCGCACGTGTGCCTCCTCCGCATCCCGGGCCCAGCGCAGCCCCTCGCCTTCGTGTCTGTATGGAGACAGCCCGGAGCTGCGGGGCTCGATGCCCCGAGAGCCTCGGTGCTTACCCCTCTCGAGGAAGGGAGGGAGGGAGACCTGGCGAGAAGGGAGAGCTGGCCGCCTCCTCCCCGGGAAACCCGCCCTCCGTGCTTGGGAGTGCATCTGTCCTGCGAAAAGTCTGTGGCGATGGTGTTCCTGACGTTTTCGTTCGCAGTCCCACAGTCGGGAACATTATTTTTGCTGTAGGTTCTCCTTAGCGTTAAAAAGATGCGCTCGCTTGGATCTGTAGATGTGCAGATGTGTGTGCTGTACTATTTCTGTGCATGAGCTATGGGTGCTTAAAATTTAAAAGAGTATCAGAGCAATCACGACTATTACCATTTATCATCTTGTTTCTCGTGCAGCTTTTGCATCTAAATGCACATATGTTACACTCTGTCGGTATTATCCCAAGATGCAAGTCTCCCTTGTTCGGTATTTGGCTTGTGCTCAGTCAAACCTACTACACATGAAATCTCTTCTATGCTGGTTTATCAGTACAGAGAAAACAGTGGGGAAGATAGCCTGTTCCAGTACATGCTTGGGTCACCCTGCGTAAGAGAGGGTCTAGTTTTCTTCAAGAACTGCTATCTCCTGGTTAGATTTTAGATTTTGCATGGACTGGGGCTGTTAGGACAGATTGCGTTGGTTAGCTGTCAGAAGTGTTAGCTGTGTGCATTAAATAAATTCCTGTTTGATCAAACTGTAAGTGGATATCAGAGAACTGTTGGTGAGTTTTCTAGTTTGAGAATTCACAGAAACTGAGCCATTTGTGCTGTCCAATTTCTGAATAAAGGACATTCCAGTTTAGGCACTTGCTGTGTAGGTAACGGACTTGTGCATATTATGATGGGATTGAGTGCCCTGGGGCTGGTGAGAAGTTGGGCCCTTGACAGCTGTAATTTTCCTCTAAATGTTCATAAGTTAACGTTGTTCTACCCATTAAAATTCAAGCTAGTTACTTGACATTGCTCTTCTGTGCTGTAACCTAGTTTCTCAGTGTAGTGTAAATTGCTCGTTTCTACTGTTATAACAGTAGGATTCTTCAGTTACCAAGGACAGAGAAAAAATGAAATTATGCTTTCTACAGCATTTCATATATTGTTTGGTGTTTCACTAGTCACTGAGCTGTAAGGTATTCATTGTGGCAAGAGGCTGTGGAAAGCTCTTCAAGTCCCTTAAACCACGCAGGCTGTCCACAGGTTGTTACTGTGCTTCTCAATACCAGGAAGAGATTTATTTTTTAGGTGCAGAATCCACTTAGACCTCAGTAATAGTGAATGGATTTAAGAAATAAGGCTGAAGCATTCATGCAGCTGTTGAAAGTTTAGTCTGTAGCGCTAGGAGGAAAAGGATCATAATTCTTATGTCTTCTGCTTCCCAATGTCAGTTAACAGCTACGTGTATTTATCACTCTGATGTACTTTGTATTCTCAACTTTTTTTTTTTTTTTTTTTTTTTTTTAAAAGGTGTGGTTGATCTTGTGTCTCTTAGTAAGGGAAATACTGATTCTGAAGTTGATAGGATCAAAACCAATGCGTGGATTGAAGCTTACGCTCTATGGTAGTGTTTCTATTATATACACATTGCACTGCTCACTGTCAGTTATATTCCCTAACACATCAGTTCTTCATATCCATAAAAGTTCTGGTACATTGAGTGAGGAGACCTGTGTTTCATCTTTCATTCAGAAACAGCCAGCATTTTCTTCTACCACTTTTGACTATGATGTTAATTAATCGCCAGTTGTTACAGATGACAGCCGTCTTTTTTTGAAGAGTATTTATTTCCACATACCACGTTGGATCAGAGTAGACTTGGATTCAGTTTTCTGCCATGTTATTTGCTGAGTAGGTAGTGATTGTAATTGCTCAATACATGCTCCAAGCCAACATTTCAGGGAACATGTAAAACAGCATGGGGTAATTGAGGGCAATCACAGGAAAGAAAAACACAAAGAGAAAATGTGAAGACTTTTTGAAGTGAAAGCAAGGATGGTGATGCATAAACAGATCATACTGCATACTTGCATAAATGAATGATTAGGGATCAGGAGAACTTAACATCTTACATCTTAGATGGTTGTGCAGGCACAGTTAGCTGGTGGCTGAACGACTGGATGGTGTTCTAGAAATAAGGTATAATTCCCCTGCATTACAGTCAGTGGTGGTAAATGCCACTAGTTACTAATCAGTTGTTCTCCAGTAGTTTGCAGCTCTTCTGATAGTGTTTCTTGACCTGTACTCGTGGCCTTCTGTTACCATTGTTGTGCCTTTTTCTACTTCATTAACCAGTGGTATATGCCTGAGGACATTTGTTCCTTTGGACTTCATCTTTTTTTTCACCAGTGCTGTATTGTGCGGATGAATACAGTTTTATTTCCCTGAATTGTTGTATGATTTGACACTTAAATTGTCTTTCTGATTGGTGTGAACAAGAATTGTAGAAGAGCAAGTACTGACGTGATGCAAGAAGAGTGTAGGGCCTCCTTAGCAAGGTAGGAGTAACCTGACAAGTGACAGAGCACTGGCACCCAGGCTGCCCAGAGAGGCTGTGGAGTCTCCTCCTTCGAAAGCCACCTGGATGAGGGTCCTGGGCCCCCAGCTCTGGGTGTTGCTGCTTGGATCAGATGGATCCCAAGGTCTCTGCTAACCTCAGCCATTCTGTGATTGTGTGAAACTGGAGGAGTTAACGAGCTTGGGCTGACTCAGCAGGCGTCAGTCTCCTGCAGACTATCATTACCTGATGCCAAATAGTACAAGTTCGATCCTCTCAGCTGTGAATGGTAACACATTCACTTTTGACTCCAAGCATTTTTACTAGTTACACTCTTATTTATGGCTTAAAGGTAGGAAGGAAGGTGGGTGGGAATTGGTGTGTGCATCTTAGACTCTGTCAAAACAACTTCTATAGTTCAGTCCCATCTCCTCATTGAACATCGATCCTCTAATTCAAAATTGTTACTTTGCTGCCATTTCCTGTCGCAGGTGCTGAAGGATTTTCCAGGTAAAATTCCCTGTGAGCCTATAGGTGAAGTTCTAAATGACCTAGACCACGTGTGTGCCTTTAGTACTGACAGTAAGGTCTTAAGCTAACTCCTGCATTCTGTTGAGTGTCATGAGTTGGCTTATCCTGTGGTGGTTTTTCATGTGTGTGTGCATGTTTTTTTTTTGTCTTTTTAGTCTTTTTTTTTTTTTTTTTAAAACTTTGGAAGTTTAGACATCTTTCTCTAAGAGCAGCTGAGAATACTGTGATTAGACAAGAGCTTAGATTTGAGGAATGCCCTTTAGAAACGCCTCGTCTGGGATTTTTATGGCAACGCTTAGCATAGCACTACCTTGGTTTTTGTTTGGGTTTTTTTTTTTTTTAGTTTTTTTTTTTTTTTTTGCATGTAACTCTTGTAATTTAAAAGGAACTCTAAATCTGAATTATTACTGTGACGAAGACTTGCTTTTGTTTTTTTTTGTTTTTTTTTCCCATCTTTCTAAAATGTGAACAGGAGGTGTGTGCCTAAAATTGGCTGGGACAGAGTATTCAGAATCAGCACCCACTCATTTCTATCTGAGTGAAGTATTGACCCACTTTACATTTCAGGCATCCGATCCAACATATTTTTTTGTGTGTGTGTGTGTGTGTGTGTGTGTGTGCTAATAACCTCAATGAATAATCCTGATGTCTGTGAGTATTTGTGTATTTAGACTTCTATGCAACTGCATCTCTTCAGCATCCAATTGTACTGATGGTTAGTTTCTATGAATTTGAAAGCTAGATCAGCACTCTTCAGAACAGATTGCAATATATCTTCGAGAGAGAGAGATAGATTCAGTGTTGTGGAATTTTCTTATTTATAGAACCACAGCAAAAAAGAATCAAGTAGGTACGCTGTTGTTACGCAAGCAGAAGTCTGTAATTTCTTTGAGTTATAGAAAGCCAAAATAACTCTTCTCAAAATAAAGCTACCTAGGAGTTTCCTCCAGGTACTGTGGGCTTAGAACTTGAATTTTTATTATAAACAATATAAAGACTGCATCCTAATGCTCCTGTTTGGTGAATAGTCGTATTTATAGTGTGCCTTGTGACTGAATTAGTCAAAGCTGGGAATGAATTTTGGAATTTGGACCACATTCTGCAGCTGTGTTTGCCCTCAGTTCTTAAATACACAAATGCAGAGAGACGACTTAAGATTCCTCACAGTACCAAGTTATTTTTAATGTGCAGTGTGTTTTGGGCTTGCTCAAATTATCTTTTATTTTATTTTGATATTCTGTTTAATTGGTTAGATTCTTTCCCTAGCATGGAACAGTTTGTATTCTAGATATAATGAGTTTATTTGGGGAAGCATTTAGGTTCAGGCAGCTAGATGGAGCCTTTGGAAGTTTTTCAGTATCTCAACATCATGAGCATAATTTGAAGTTCTAGCTGGCTATCTAGTTGTCACTGCTTCAGAGAAGCCAATTTATCAGCTTTTCAAGGGAAGCCAGCAGTGATCTGGAAATGCCACAGTGTTACACACAGTTGGGGTGAAGGATCATAGATGTTTTAATCTTATTTTTTTGTCCCTTACTACAGCAGGATTTTGTGGTAGCCTTGGTGTGCACTGAGGAAAAAGATGGAGGAATGAAAGTCAAGTGGAAAAAATAATGCAGAGATATCCCTTACTTTTCTGTCTATTCATTATGCATGAAAATGGCTATCTTGGTAAAGTTGTCCTTAAGGGAAAACAAGTGAAATACCCTAATGAAAATGATAGACAGACTCCTTCCTGTTAACGAACGATTCAATGCATGATGGCTTTAAG